AACCCGACGGTCCCACATCCTCCCAGCTTTCGGGTTGGGGGGCGTACGGGTCCCAGTGTGTTGGCATGCCTAACGCCCCACCACTGGAAATTGGCAGGCCCGGCTGCGACTCCTGCTTGGGTTGAGGTGGCTTGGTGGGCAGTCAGGGAGAATGAAGAGCAGACGGTGGGGGAGGCATGCGGTTTGGCTGCCCCGCCCCGCGCAGGAGATGGAGCAGAAAAAACACGACCTCGAGGAGGGCATTCTGTGCATGAAGCTGGAGGTGCCCAGCAGCACGGAGGGAGAACGAGAAGCATCCAGGTGGGGTCGGAGGATCGAGCCGCATCGCCGCTGTGGCTCGATGTTGAGCCCGATTTTCTCCAGGCCGATGTCGCCGATGCATCGCTGGCGTCGCCGATGCATCGGCGATGCGGCGGGATCCTGCGACCCCATCCACTCGGACCCCATCTGGGAGGCCTTTCGAGGAGGAAGAGGGATCGTGGGGGAGCGTGAGGGCAGAATCGAGTAGCACAAACCAGCACAAACATGATATCTCGGTGCTCCCCTCGGATTTCTGGGCTGGCCCCTGGTGGCGCCTCTGGCGTCGCCCCTGGCGCGCTCCTCCTGCCAGGGAGGGGGATCCAGCGCCGATCCGAGAAATCAAGGCGGGCCTCCGGGAAAGTCTGTTCGTACAGTTTGTGTTGTTCCTTTTTGCAAGGCAAAAGGCGAGGAGACAGGGGAACGGATGAGGAGAGAAATGGAGTAGGAGGGGTGATTTTGCGGGAGGAGGAGGATGGTAAAGGAGGGATGAGGAAGGCTAGGATGATGGACTACGAAGTATGAGGAAGTGGAGGTGGAGATGCCCGCCACCTTTTTTAGCTGCTGCTTGGGGGCCTGAGCCTTCAAGCACCGCTCACATGCGCACGTGCACATCTTGCTTCCTCCTACTTCTCCGTGCTCCCCTCTTCTGGAGCCTGTTTTCCTATTCCGGGCCGATGACGACCGTCATCTGAGGGGAGAGGGGCCGATGATTTCACGTTTCGCGCCTATGGCGTCTGGGAATGCGCAGGAATGACCGGGGACGGATAGCAGCAGCATGTATGTCGCGATCTGCACCACAGCGCGTGTGTACACCACAGTGCTTGCGTGCACGACAGCGCATGTGTACACCACACCGCCGATGTACATCACATCAGCCGAGTGCAACACAGCGCCAGTGTGTGCCACAGTGTCTGCGTGCACCACAGCGCTCGTGTACACCACAGCGCCTGCATACACCACATTAGCCATGTGCAACATAGTACCAGTGTACACCATGTGCCTGCGTGCACCACAGCGCTTGTGTACTCCGTGGCGCCCGTGTGCACCACAGTAGCCGTGTTCAACATTATACCATTGTTGTATATAGAATCCCAGGAGGAATCCGTATGACAAGATGCATCGCTCCGCACTTCTCGCACCTCCTTCTCACGTGCTCCCGAGTCCTCCCACCTCTCCCCACCTTCTCCCATCTTCCCTCAATCCTCCTCGTCGTCCTCTTCTTTTCCCGCACTTCCGTGCCGTAATTCGTGACATGTTCGTTGCGTGTTGCAGCTTTCGCAGGCCTTTTCCTAATTTTTACGTGTACCGGCCTTGACCTTAGGGTGCTTTTGCGTCCTTGGTTACTTTTGCGTCCTTGACTCAGGCCTTAGGGTACTTTTGCGTCCTTGACTCAGCCCTTCCGGGCGTTGGCAACTCGCCGCCCAAAGGTGCCAATTTCGGCGTCCAAGGCCTTTGCGTCTTTACAGCCCGTCCTTTTTATAGATTTCGACTGTAGCTATCCGCGGCAGATCCTCACCCACGTGCTCCTTCTAGCTGTCCAGTGCACGCAGGCATTGTGGTGTACACAGGCGCTGTGTTGCACGCGGATGCTGTGGTGTACGCACGCGCTGTTGTGTGCTCTGGCGCTACGGTGCGCGCAAGCTTTGTGGTTTACACCAGCGCTGTGTTGCAGACGGCTGCTACGGTGTACACATTAGCTGTACTGTGGTGCACGCAAGCACTGTGGTGTACACAGGCGTTGCGTTGCACACGGCTGTTGCGGTGTACTCGGACGCTGTGGTGTGCACGCGCGCCGTGGTGCACACCATAGCAGTGCGGTGTACACAGGCGTTGTGGTGCAGTTCGCCACCTACATGCTGCTCCTACTTGGCTTCAGTCTTCCCTAGGCACTCCATGACGCCGCCGGCGCGGAACGTAGCGTCATCTAGGAGGGGTGGGGGGGGACTTGTTCTTGCTACTATCCCTGGAAACAGATAGCAGGCTCATGCTCCCGCTGCCCCGTCCCACCATCCTCTCTCTCGTCATCACTCCTCCCTCGTGCTCCTCGTGGTCTTGCCGCGGCTGCTTGTCGACTCCTCTCCTTGTCCTTTCCCTTCAGGGGCAACGCTGGGGGGGCATAGTCATAGGGGGGATGCATCGACCCCAAATCGCCCACTGATCGCCGACAGGGGCCCCAAAGCCCCACCCTGCCCAGGAGCGCTTAGATTCGGCATCGGGGGGCTATCGCCGATCAATCGGCGAGACATCGTCGAGTCCAGGTCCATGTCGTCCCCCCCCCTGATGCCAGTCCCCCCCTCATCGTTGCCCCGCATCCCTGGCGAGGCAAGAGCTGTGCCCGTTGGGGGGCGGTTCCGCACCTGTCGTGTGCTGAGGTCTCTTCGGATGCCTGCCGCCAGGGAGGAGTTGGAGGCGAAGAGGGGAGCGGGGGACGGAGGAGAAAGGAGACCAGAAAGGGACAGGGGGCAGGGGAGGAGAACAGATGAGAGATGTGGTTGGTGGAAGGATTGTAGGAGAGGGAGGTGGAGGAGGAGGCGACGGGAGCGGGGAGTGGGAAATGAGGGGAGAACTTTTGGGGGGGTATGGGAGGATGACAGGTCAGTTTGCGATTTTTGAAGATGACGATGGGGAGGAGGAGGACAAATAGTTTGATCATGAGCAGCAGGAGGAGGACAGGGAGGAAGGAGTTGCCGTTGTCACACGAATCTGGCTATTGCTATGGCCGCTTGAAGGACTGGTTGGGAATAGGGAGGGAAGTGGGCAGGGATGAGGGAGGGGAAGGAGACGGACAAGGAGTAGGAAACCAGTGGTTGGGAGGGTAGGAGAGAGGACTACTGGAAGGCGGAAAGAGGAGATAGGAGAAACAAATGAGGAGGAATGGGAGAGTCAAGCCGTCCCATGTACAAGTCGATCTTGCTGCCTACGGCAAGTTCCGCCACCCTGCCTAGGTTGCTGGGTTGTAAGCCTGGTGGTCGTTCCTTGGAATCTCGTGGGAGGCCTCTCGGGGGCCTCTTGGAGGAAGTCTTGAAACCTCGTGGGGGCTGTTTTGAGGCCTCTGCGGGACCTCCTCGGGGCCGCACTGGGGCCTCTTGGGGGCCTCTTGGGCGCCTCTTTGGCGCCTCTTGGATGAAGGGGAACTGGGACACACAAATAAATACACACAAATAAAAAGATTCCCCATATTTTCCCATATTTTCTGGGTTTGTGTCTTCCCCCCCACTTCCCATATCTTCCCATATTTTCTGGGGAATCGAGGATTAATTGTGTCTGTGTGCTTCTTTTCCTCCTAATTGGAGCCTCCCGGGGGCCCCTCGGGGCGACGGGCTCGGATGTTCGATGCGTGCCCCCTCTCTGGAGCCCCATTTTGGGGGCCGCCTTGGGCGCCCTCTTGGGCGTGTCTTGGGCGTGTCTTGGGCCGTCTCGGGTCGGAGGGCACCAACTATACACCAACACCGATCCTGGGCCCAGGATCACCCTGGGCCCAGGATCGGTGTATATGCCTTCTTGCGCAGGGCAGGAGGGCGTATACACCGATCCTGGGCCCAGGGTGATCCTGGGACAGGATCGGTGTTGGTGTATAGTTGGTGCCTTCCTATTGGGGCGCTCTTGGGCCGCCTTGGGGCGCTCTTGGGCCGTCTGCGGGCCCTCGTGGAAGCCTCGTGGGCCCTTTTGGGCCGTCCGAGGGCCCTCTGGGTGGCATCCTGTGCCGTCCTGGAGCGCCAGACAGCCGAAGAGGCGAGAACGCCAAGATCCTTCAAACACATACAGTCAAGACGCTGCAATAAGGAACAGTTTAGGTTCGGTCGGAAAGGGCTCGATGTTCCTTAGGTTCCTCCAGTGCTGTTCCTCTCGCCCTCCTGGGGCACGGAGGCGCTTACAGGGCCAAGAAGGGGCTTCGTTCTTTATTTAGCGTTCCTTTTTTCAGCGGCCCGACAATAGGGAAAATCAATGATTTTTGTCTTTGCGGGGCTTTCTTTGGAGGCCTCTTGGAGGCCTCTTAAGGGTCGCCTTGGAAGGCTCTTGCGCCATGCTGAGGCCATCTGGGGCATCTTCGAGCGATCGTTCGGCGATTCCGGGCCCTCTTGGACCGTCTTGGGGGCCTCCTGGGCCGTCACCGAAGCTTTGGAGAGCCCCAGGGAGGCGCCATGGCCGCCCAGGGACCCCCCTGGAATATAGCAGGTGTGCGCGGCGAGGTGCGGCGTTTTTTTTAGAAGATGGCCTTGGACTTGGCTCCCAGCTCCAGACGAGACCCGAACGGAGGTGGTCTGTGGGAGGCGGCACAACCGCGGACCCCTTAGAAGATTACAGAAACTCTACCATACAGCATTTGGCCTTTCAGTACGCCCGAAAACATGCCAGTGGGCACGGTGGAGGATGACTCACGGGCCACGTTGCCAGACGTGCATACCCCAGACGCGGATAGCAGTTACTAGTCGATCTGATGTGGACCAGGGCCGTTTTAGACAGGGGCGGTGTATCTAGGCCTCTCGGACGGGGTCGGAGCAGACGCGGTCGGATGATCGCTCCGCAGCGCCGATGCATCGCCGATGCGGCTCGATGTGCAGCTCGATGTTCTCCACGCCGGCGTCGCCGATGCACCGCCGATGCGTCGCCGAGGCGTCGCCGAGGCGTCGCCGGTGTGTCGCCGAGGCGTCTCGGTTTCTCCGACCTCCGACCCCATCTGCTCGGACCCCATTTTGGAAGGCCTCTCTACACCTCAGGCGATGCTTAAGAAAACTCGAGTTTTCGGGCAGAGTCTCGATACTTCTTAACTTTTCAATGCAAATCCCAAGATTTTGATAGAAGTTCTGGGTTTATTCAAATTCTGAGACTCTGAGTTTCTTAACCCATGATTTCTTAAGCATTTCGCAGGGTGTACTCGGACCCCATTTGGAAGGCCTCTCTATGTCACGGGTCGATCTGATTTGGAGCAGAGCCGTTGCAGACAGGGCGGCGTGGGATCTGGCGTCCTTGTCGTTCTTGTCTCGGGCGACGAGAATTATGCACATGCACCGATCCTGGCAAGGCCCATTTTTGACCCAGGATCGGTGCATATGCCTTCCTGGCCAAGGCAGGAGGGCGTATGCACCGATCCTGGGCTCAGGATGGGCCTGGCCAGAATCGGTGCATGTGCATAGTTCTTTTTCCTCTATCGTCAGTCGGTGAGATGTTCGGATGTCCAGGGGCATACTGAGCCAGTGGGCAGCGGGGATCCCCCTTCTCTCTTCGCTCGTGCTCCTTTATATCATCTGTCCAGTGCCTCCCATTGCCCTTGCACGGCTCCGTCCGGCTGGTGGCAGTGCTAGCCAGTACAGTCGTGCTTGTCGCTGAGTCGTCTACACAGCAATATCGAATAGTGCCAGATCGCTCGCTGCAGAAGTTCCACAAGTGGGAGCAGCAAGGCGGGAGATCACGTAATCGGAGTCTGATGTGTTCCCATTCCTTTTCGTTCAAACCAGAAGCTATTGTTCGCCCATGGAAATTCATGGTTACGAACAAGTGATTACCATAGTTCTTGATCCATGCTTGACCCTTGGGCGGCTGATGTGGGTGACGGGAGCCGCAGAACCACGTCGAGGTTTGCTCTGTGTTGATCCCTGCTGTTTTCACCCGCCTGCGCCGTTCACCCGATGCCCGTGCCCTGGTCGCCACTGCTCGAACGACGAACAACTACAGCAAAATACGATTTTTCGGAGCTCAGCGCGGATTCCTTTGGTCGGCGCCGCGCCCCCCTGGCGGCGCCACAGGCCCAGCGCCGATCCAGAGAGAGCCGCACGGAGCTCCGAGGGTGTCTGCCTCTGCGGTTGCTCCTCCGCCGACTGCAGGTGCAGACGGCCCTGGCGACATCGCAGCCGATGCTGATCGACCGCGTCGTAGAGGTCCTCGGATGCAACTCCCGGGAGGTCAACTTCTGATTTTGCCCTGGTCCGAAATCCGGCTCAATCCCGCTTCATCCCGTTCAATCCTGCTCAATCCCGCTGAATCCGATGCCCTTTCCGGCGGTACAGCTCCCAAATGGGGCTTGATCCTCCTTAATCCTTACCAAGAAAACCTCCCAGTAGTTGCCTCCTAAGAGGTCCTGGGCGCGAACCTGCAGTTCCGGCGGCGCTGCCAGCTGCTCGGGCAGAGCCTGGAGCCCGGGCGTTGCCAGAGGTGCCCGGCCATGGGGGCCCCCAGGAGCTCCAGGGGGGCCCCCATGGCCTCCAGAGCACCCCTCGCGAGGCCCAAAAGTTGTGGAAGTCGATTAATGGAGAGGAAGAATGTTGTCAAATAATTTCCAGATGTCTAAAAGACGTTTTAACATGTAAAAACAACATGTTTGAAACATGTTTAGAACATGTTTTACACATTTACAATACATTTTTAATTCAATGATAAGATTGTTAGAGTGTCCAGTGTCATGACATCCACAACGCAAAAGGGTACCCAGGGGCTTCAAATTGAAGCGGCAAGCTGGGGGCACTTTGGGCCAGTGGCACCTTCAGCAACCCCCGAGGAGTACGCGATCTCATCCGCGCGCATGGTGCTGCGGAGCCTGGGAGAGCGGCCTGACATCGCACCTCTCGACGCCAAGGGCGGGGGCGTGGCCAAGAGGCGCGGAGCACGGGAGAGGGCACAAACGCAAAGGTTCGGAGGGCGCGCAGGAATCCTTCGGCGGCCGGTGATGTGGGGAAGTTCGAGATTTTCAGCTCGAGGTGTTCGGGCGTTTTCACCGGTTCTCGGCGATTTCCCGACCTCGGGATACGTTCCAGCGACCGCGCCTCGCCGAGAGCGTTTCGGGGATGCTCCGATCATCCCGAACTCGCCGAGCGCGTTCCACTACTCGCAAAGTGCCTACTCGCAAACGTCCGAAAACACTTGTCTGCTTTGACATCATTTCTCGTACATCCCCCGCGGAGGTACAGGCCATTTGCGAGTAGTTACTGTGCGAGTAGTGGAACGCGCTCGTCTACGAACGGCCGCCAGAGACCCGAGTGATGACTCGAGAACTGAACTCGGTTGCGCGCCCAGGGCGGAGAGCGAGGAGGAGAAGGCCTTCCCAGAAGGCGGAGGGACATCTCAGAAGCCCTCCGGCCCTCTCAGAGGTCTTCTGTTTTTTCGGGGATGGCTTCGCCTTTTCCTCAGGGGGCCGGGGGGACTTCCGAGCCGTCTGAGAAGGCCTGCCCCTTCTCGTTTCCCCCCTCGCTCACCGTCGACTCTTGGGTCTCAGGCCTCCTCGAGCCGTGAAGCGCCACGACGGGCGGTCCTTCGCTACTCTCGGGCGCCGCTGGGCCGCGCCTGCGGTCCGCGCTGGGCGCCCCTGGGGACCTTCCACAAGCGACTCGGAGGGGAAAGCCAGGAGCGGCCTGGACGGGGGTGATGACCAGGGGGGGGGGGAGATCCTGGCCGGGGCCATGAGGCCTCCCCAGATCTCGCGGCGCCTCTGCCTCTATTGTGCAGGCCTGACGGCCGGTGCCGCCGACCCTGAAAGACATCGACGACGACCAGGAGGGGGAGGAGGAGGAGAAGGAGGAGGAGGAGGAGGAGGAGGAGGAGGAGGAGGAGGAAAAGGACCCCCCTGGGACCCCCCCTGGGGAGGAGGCCCGGAGGAGGACCGGCGTGGGAGAGGGGAGGGGAGGGTGAGGAGGACCAGGAGGACCCCCAGGGACGGATGCGCATTTGACTCCCCCCCCCCTGGGACTCCTCCCCACCTGTGGCGGAGGACCCGAGGAGGACCGGCGCGCCAGAGAAGGACCGGCGTGGAAGAGGAGGACCCCCAGAGGCGATGCGAATCTGACCCCCCCCCCCACGGGCCCCCCGCCCCCCGCCGGGGAAGGGACACCGGGAATGGGCTGCCCTTTGACGCAATGAGGGTGTGGATGGAATTCCCTCGAGCTGCGGACCCGTTTCCCGAGCGAGGGAGGGTGCTCTCTCTTTCTCTCTCTCTCTCTCTCTTTCTTTCTGTCTCTCTCCCCCCCGACGGGAGTGGAGGATGGGAAGGAGGGGGCGAAAGAAGGCTCCCCGTCGACGGGACTGGGCAGACGCCCCACACACGCCGACAGGGTCGGCGGCTTTTCTGCGTCCCCGGCTCCGCCCCCATGGGCAGCACCTGCCGGTGGCCAAGATCGGCGCCCCTCCTGCTTGGACGACCCCTCTGGCACGGCCCTGAAGAAGCGGCCCTCTGGGAGGGGGCCCGATCCTCCTGGGGGTCCCGCGCCACACAAAAAAAACACACGGCGCCGGCGCGGGGCCCCGCCTTGCGCCACCCCCAGCGTCGTGGCGCCCGTCGCACCTCGGGCAGCCCGTGCCTGCGCATTTGCGCTTGCTCTCTCCGTTCGGGGACTGCTTGAGAGTGCAGATTTTCCAGGAGGTCCGCTCCGATTTCTTTGATCGGCGCTGGGTTCCCCCCCTCCCTGGCGCGAGGAGCGCGCCCGCCAGGGTCGGGTATAGCCAAGATTAAGTCGGGCCTGTCCCCCTACAGGGGGATTTTCGACGAAAAATAAGAAAATATTCCAAAAATGCCCCAAAAAGGTTAAACAATACACCAAATTGGTCCCCAGACTATGTTTGGATTATTTTTTGATTCTGTTTGGAGTATTTTTCATTTTTCGTAGAAAACCGCTCTGTAGGGGGACAGGCCCGACGTAAGTATAGCCAGGACCCCAGGTAACAGGACCGGATTAGTAGTACGGCCCCAGAGCCCCAAAATTTGCCAGGATCGCTGAAGCAGGTCTGCCGTAGCCAGTGTGTTTCGGGTTGCGGCAGTTCCTGTGTGTGTGTGTGGAAATGGGGCGGAATGGACGTCCCCCCAGTACACCAGCCACGCGCAGAGAGGGGTGGGGAGAGGGGGGAGCTTCCTTCTAAGAAGCCCTCCCCCCTCCCCCCACCCCCTTTGTGCGCGCCGCCAAGTACACATCACTGAACCAGGTCCCGCGAAACCCAGTTTCGCCGACGCCCGACGGCGCCAGAGGCGCCGCCGGGGCCCAGCGCCGAAATCCGAGGGCAGCGCCGAGATATCCTTGGCATCGCTCGGACGTGTGCATTTTTCTTGGCGACGGCCATCGAGGACCATCCTTGATCATTTGGGGGAAAAAAACACGCACGAAATCGAAAAATACGCGAGGAATGGACGTCCGAGCGATGGCCAGTTGTGTGAATTCGATTCCGCCCTTACTTTTCCTCGTGATCCCTTTTCCTGCTCTAGAGGCCTCCCAGACGGGGTATGGGGTCGGAGGATCGTGCCGCATCGCAGATGCATCGGCGGTGCGGTACGATGTGGAGCCCAATTTCCTCCACGCCGACGGCGCCGATGCCGATGCATCTCCGACGTCGCCGATGCATCGCTGATCATCGCCAGTGCATCGGCGATGCAACGGCGATGCGGCGCGATCCTCCGATACCATCTACTCGGACTCCTTTTTGGAGGCCTCTGTAAAGGTGCACCTGGTCGGAGGCGCCTTCAGCTTTTCCCTCAACTTTGGAGCCCCTGGACACGCTTTGGGCCTCGTGAGAGGTGCTCTGGAGGCCGTGGGGGCCTCCTTGGAAATCCTGGGGGGCATCTTCGGCCAGGGGCACTTCTAGCAATACCCGATCTGTAGAGGTGGCGGGTGGAATTCGACGAGATGCGGCAGACCAACCACGCGATGATCGGGGCACTGCGCCATCCAGACGCCACCATGGCTCTGCCGGGAACGGCGCTCGAGGAGCAGATCGACCACAATTGGCGGTTTATCTTATTGCGCTGTCGCGCCAATCCGCCTCCGCGGAGGGGAGGGAGGATAAGGGGGAAAAGGAGGAGGAGGAGGAGCATGAGGAGGCGGAGGAGGAGGAGGAAGAAGGGGACGAGGAGGGAGGAGGAGTAGGAGGAGGAGGAGGAGGAGGAGGAGGAGGAGGAGGAGCAGGAGCAGGGGCAGGAGCAGGAGCAGGAGCAGGAGCAGGAGCAGGAGGAGGAGCAGGAGCTGCAGCTGGTGCAGGAGCAGGAGTAGGAGCAGGAGCAGGAGCAGGAGGAGGACCAGTGTAAAACAGAGGGTCATCAACGATGTTGGAATGAACCCTCCCTCCAAGCTCCCTCTTCATAGGCCCCCTACAACGGCTCATTTCTATTGAGGGAACTGCCTCTTCGGAAGACAACCGTTTGAAGATCCTGAAGCATGCCAAAACATTGTTCTCGGGATTTCAACGCCACGTATCAACCTGACTGCTGCGTGTTGGCGATACAGAATCGTGCCATCATGCCAATGTTTCAACACCGCGAATCAACATACTTGCTGCGCTCGCATAATCCAGAATTCATTCAACAAAGCACCATTTCTGGTACGCTGATCTTGGGATCCCGTGAAACTCTTACACTCTGTTTAACGACTGTGCGCGGCGCTGAGGCGAGATCCACATTTTGAAAAAGGAACCGCCCTCAATCCGTGAAGCGCTTGCAAATGTGTACAACGAGTGTGCGCGGCGCTAAGGCGAGAGCCACATAATAAAATAGCCTGGCGAAGGACCCAACCATATGCAGTTGTGAATGCCGCAATTGTGCTGGGTGGTGGCGGACGCATGCGGGCGGTGCCACTGGGACCTTCGGTGGAGCTCCCTATGGGGCCACGAAACGCTGTACTGGGTGGGTGAGACGCGGTCAGCAAGGGCTGTGCTGCGTGGTGGCGGACGCATGCGAGCGGTGCCACTGGGACCTTCGGTGGAGCTCCCTATGGGGCCACGAAACGCTGTACTGGGTGGGTGAAACGCAGGCAGGGAGCAAGGGCTGTGCAGGGTGGTGGCGGACGCATGCGGGCGGTGCCGCTGGGACCTTTGGTGGAGCTCCCTATAGGGCTACGAAGCGCTGTTCTGGGTGGGTGAAGCGCAGGGAACAAGGGCTGTGCTGGGTGGTGGCGGACGCAAGCGGGCAGTGCCACTGGGACCTTTGGTGGAGCCCCCTTATGGGGCCACGCAGCGTGCGAGGGGTGTGCCAGAATGGGGGTGGAACCGCATGCCAGCGCAGCCACTGGGGCCTTCGGTGGAGCTCCCTATGGAGCCACGAAACGTGTGAGGGGTGTGCCAAAATGGGGGGTGGAACCGCATGTGAGCGCAGCCACTGCGGCGTTCGGTGGAGCTCCCTATGGGGCCACGAGACGTGTGAAGGGCGTGCCGGAAAAAGGGGGTGGAACCGCATGCGAGCGCAGCCACTGCGGCGTTCGGTGGAGCTCTCTATGAGGCCACGAACCGTGTGAGGGGTGTGCCGAAATGGGGGGGGAACCGCATGCGAGCGCAGCCACTGCGGCGTTCGGTGGAGCTCCCCATGGAGCCACCCACGAAGCGTGTGAGGGGTGTGCCGAAATGAGGGGTGTGCCGCATGCGGGCGCAGCCACTGGGGCCTTCGGTGGAGGCTCCCTATGGGGCCACGAAGCGTGTGAGGGGTGTGCCACCGCATGCGGGCGCAGCCACTGGGGCCTTCGGTGGAGCTCCCTATGGGGCCACGAAACGTGTGAGGGGTGTGCCGAAATGAGGGGTGGAACCGCATGCGGGCGCAGCCACTGGGGCCTTCGGTGGAGCTCCCTATGGGGCCACGAAACGTGTGAGGGGGTGTGCCAGAATGGGGGGTGGAACCGCATGCGGGCGCAGCCACTGGGGCCTTCGGTGGAGCTCCCTATGGGGCCACGAAACGTGTGAGGGGTGTGCCAGAATGGGGGGTGGAACGCATGCGGGCGCAGCCACTGGGGCCTTCGGTGGAGCTCCCTATGGGGCCACGAAACGTGTGCCAGAATGCGGGGTGGAACCGCATGCGGGCGCAGCCACTGGGGCCTTCGGTGGAGCTCCCTATGGGGCCACGAAACGTGTGAGGGGTGTGCCAGAATGGGGGGTGGAACCGCATGCGGGCGCAGCCACTGGGGCCTTCGGTGGAGCTCCCTATGGGGCCACGAAGCGTGTGAGGGGTGTGCCAGAATGGGGGGTGGAACCGCATGCGGGCGCAGCCACTGGGGCCTTCGGTGGAGCTCCCTATGGGGCCACGAAACGTGTGAGGGGTGTGCCAGAATGGGGGTGGAACCGCATGCGGGCGCAGCCACTGGGGCCTTCGGTGGAGCTCCCTATGGGGCCACGAAACGTGTGAGGGGTGTGCCAGAATGGGGGGTGGAACCGCATGCGGGCGCAGCCACTGGGGCCTTCGGTGGAGCTCCCTATGGGGCCACGAAACGTGTGAGGGGTGTGCCAGAATGGGGGGTGGACCGCATGCGGCGCAGCCACTGGGGCCTTCGGTGGAGCTCCCTATGCCACGAAACGTGTGAGGTGTGCCAGAATGGGGGGTGGAACCGCATGCGGGCGCAGCCACTGGGGCCTTCGGTGGAGCTCCCTATGGGGCCACGAAACGTGTGAGGGGTGTGCCAGAATGGGGGGTGGAACCGCATGCGGGCGCAGCCACTGGGGCCTTCGGTGGAGCTCCCTATGGGGCCACGAAACGTGTGAGGGGTGTGCCAGAATGGGGGGTGGAACCGCATGCGGGCGCAGCCACTGGGGCCTTCGGTGGAGCTCCCTATGGGGCCACGAAACGTGTGAGGGGTGTGCCAGAATGGGTGTGGGAGGGGGAGGAGGGGGGAGGAAGGGGAGGAGGAGGAAGGAGGAGGAGGAACGCGGGGCAACGTCTCTTCAAAACGAGGACCCAACACCACAGAATGGTTGGGGAAAAAACGGCCCGCCCTCAATCCGTGAACATCCTGCAATTTTTGTTTTAACGAATGTGCGCGGCGCTAAGGCGAGAGCCACATTTTGAAAAGGAACCGCCCTCACAAAGAATGTGCGCGGCCCAAAGGGGAAAGCCACATTCTGAAAATGACCCGCCCTCAATCCGTGAAACCTTTGCAACTGTTGCAAAGAATGTGCGTGGCGCTGAGGCGAGAGCCACATTTTGAAAACCAGCCGCCCTCCATCTGTGAAACCGTTGTCACTGTTTAAGCTTCAGCGTCATAAATGGTGAGGAAGTCTCAGGCGAAACGCCCGGCCCGCCCTAAAATCTGGCCTCGGGGTGCGACAGGGAGGAGTTATCTATAAGGAGAAGGAACAGAGGAGGAGGGAGGGAGGGAGGAGGGAGGCAGGAGGAGGAGGATGGGGGAGGAGGAGGAGGAGGAGGAGGAGGAGGAGGAGCGCAGGAGGAGAAGGAGGAGGCGGAGGAGGAGGAGGAGAGAGAGGAGGAAGGAGGAGGGAGAGGAGGAGGAGGAAGGAGGAGGAGGAGGGAGGAGGAGAAGAGGAGGAAGGAGGACGGAGAGGGAGGGAGGAGGGGGAGGGGGGAGGGGGAGGGGAGGAAGGAGGAGAGGAGGAGGGGAGGGAGGAGGAGAGGAGGGAGGAGAGGAGGAGGAGGAGGAGGAGGAGGAGGGAGAAGGAGGAGGAGGGGGAGGGGGAGGAGGAGGACGAGGAGGACGAGGAGGGAGGAGGAGGAAGGGAGGAGGAGGAGGGGAGGAGGCTGAGGGGAGGGGATGAGGAGGACGGGGAGAGCGGATGGGGAGGGAGGGGCTGGTAAGAGCTGGGAGGATGGGCATTGGAGCAGGAGGCGGAGGGAGGAGGGAGGAGAAGGAGGTGCGGGGGGGAGCGAGGATTGTGGGGGGGGCAGAAGGCCGGGGCCTCGGTCTCCCCTTTGCCGCTTCTGCGAACCTCCATCTTGCCCCCCTCCCCCTCTCTTGGCATCGCTCGGACGCGCGCATATTTCTCAGCGAGGCCAGCGCCGTAGAATCCGGAGCATCTCGGATCATCTCGACAGACAAGACAAACACGCACCAGACCAAACAAAGCACGGGGAATTCGGAATGGGCGCCCGAGTGACGACGGCGAGCTCCTCGCCAGGGCGCGCGTGACGGGGTTCAGCGCAAACGGAGCTCCGCCAGCACGCCAGATCCCGCAGAGCCGGATTTGAGACCTCCCCCGGAAAAAAAACAACATCCAGTACACTATTCCGCATTTGGCTCGGCTGGGTGCGGGCAAGAGTTGTATCCACATCCACGGCGTTCTCGGCTTTTGGGGAAAGAAGCACAACACCTGTGACGCAGTGGATGTGGACAAAGTGAGGCCTCGCTAGAGGCCGCATTCTTATCCATATCCACTGCGCCTGGGGTTTCTAGGAGAGGGGGTCCTGCAATCCGAGCGAGACGCAGTGGAGATATAGGGCAGGCTCGCGCCGTGCCGACTCGCGGCGGCGACCCCGCAGCCGGCGTTCCACGTGCGACGCCGCCGTCGACACAGGAGCGATCGATGTTGGACGATCTGACGTGAAACGGCCGTTCGTGCAAGGTGGAACGAGACCCGCGTTGTTCAGGAGGGAAACGTCGGCAAAGGCACAATCAGGAACGTAGGTGCCGAGGAAGAGCAGGGCAAAATATGCGAATCGAAGGGGGGCGAGCATCCAGACAACACGGAAAGATATCGGGAATCTTGGAAGTCGTGTCTATTTATTTGTGTGTGTGTGTTTGGCCCCTTTCAGTTGTCAAAAACCAGCGCCGAGGTCGGCTTGACAAGAGCACGCGGCTCGTGTCTTGCCCGCACGGGGGTCCGCGCGGAGCCCGGCGCACCCGCGCCCTGTCTCGGGCGCACCTCGGGGCGGCGCCGCGAGCGGCGCTTCGTGGGAACGACGTGTGCACAGACATTGACGAGCGCCGATGCCAGGGCACACGTGGGAACCTGGCGGCGCGCAGAGGGGGGGCAGGGGGAGGGGGGGGGAAGGCTTCTTCGACTGACGTTGCTTCTCAGAAG